CAATATTAATTTTCTTGGGGTGGAGAGTAGCTCAGTAGTAAGAACTTGATAGCCCTCGGTTCAATCATCAACAGTCCATGTACACAAACACACACACAGACCCACACAAACAAAAACCTGAAAATATATGTAATGAGTGATAAAAAAGATTATAATACAAAAGATACACAATGAGAGGCAACAAAAATCAATGAAAAGACAACACACTTTCTTACAAAGGAGACTGAACTTTCCCATGATCTACACTCTTTGAAGAAACAAAGAGCATTTCAGTAAATTATGTGAAATTCAGGGCATGGATTATTGTGTTTTTTGGGGTGAACTTAAAAAAACTACATCTAAAATGAAAATAGTACACTGTATCTAAGACCAGTGAAAATATTTTACAGGACAGAGAGAGTAGAGAGAGCATTTATGTTACTCCCAAGTTTCATAAGCTAAAAGGCCAGCTCCCAAATGGGTAGCCCTAGGAGGAGGTAATTAGGAGGGAACAGCAATCAGGTGACATGGTGGGAGTGCCTGTGAGAGGATCAGCACCCTTACTGAGACATATATATCTCTCCTTTTCAGAAAACAGGTGTCATTTATTATTTCACTGATAAAGTATTCAGTGACTTTTTAAATGATCACAGTTGGGTATTTTAGGTATTGCCAAAATTGTCCTTAAAACATCCAATGAAGATGGGTGTGATGGTGCACATCTGTAACCCCAGTGGTTCAGGGGTCAGAGGCTCAAGGCTATGTAGCAAGACCCTGACTCAAAAGGAAGAATCTAAAAGGGGCCAGGGATGTGGCCCAGTGGCTAAGCACCTCTGGGTTCCATTCCTGATACCAAAAACCACACAGCTAACATGGACCTGCCAAGACCAGACAACAACAGTAACAACAAACTGTCCTTCCTGTCAAATTCATGAGCATGTCAATGACTGTAACTAATTTACATAAAATCAAATTCATAAATTTATCCACTACAATTTTTGGAGAAATGGATTCATTTCCTGCAGCAATAATGGTAGACAGAGTTTCTCTGTATCTTAAGTGGCATTCTGGAATCTAGGACATGGATTTCAATTGGAAATCATTGAAAAGACAAGATCAAATCTCACCAATTTTCTATGCATACTCAGGGGTAGAAAAAGATAAATTAGATGTGTTTTTTGTTGTTGTTGTTGTTGTTGTTTGTTTGTTTGTTTTTCTGTTCTGTTCTTTTTCTTTGGTTTGGGATCAGAGATTAAACCCAGAGGAACTTTACTGATGAGTCACATCCCCAGACATAAGGCCTGGCTAAGTCGCTAAGGCTGTCCTCAAGTTTGCAATCCTCCTGCCTCAGCTTCTGGAACAGCAAGGATCACAGGTGTGCACCACTGTACCTGGCTGTAATTGTTTTCACAATGGAAATGTAACTAGACTTTTTAAAATCCACTTCTTTCTTGCCTATTTAATAATAGTCCATCCAACTTGGCTCTGAAAAAATAGATATGGGTCTTAAAATGTGAGCAGATAATTTCAAAGTGATACACAGAAAGCTTTGGTGCCAAGGGAGCACACATGTATCAGGCTCAAGGGGCAGGGAAGGTCCCTGACATCTGGGACGTGTCCTCTTTTGGTCTTGCTTCCTGAAAGCCTCTAGGATCACCCTCCCGGGGACCTAGGCCATGACTCCAGTCTATGAGGCTTTTCAGGTTTGCACAGCTCTGCACTGGGGTGGGTGTTGCTTATGCTCTGGGAGAGGTTTCACTCCTTCACACTGTGAGACTAAAAGGGCAGGAATCACTGGTGACCTGGCCCCTCAGCACCAGCATCCACAGGATGACTGGCCACCTCTCTCCAAGAAATGGGAACAGAGCAGGGAAAAAACAAGT